AACTCGATCCAAATTTAAGCCGAGAAAAACACACCGGTCTGAGGAATCATCAAAGCATCGTCAACCTGCACTACAGCACCCCTATACAAGAAATTTTCCCGTACTTTTTCCCATCGTTCAGTTCAAAATATTCCCCTTTCTTACAACCTTTGCCCAAGTCACAGACCTCTTGTGGCTTCCAGCAACAATTCCTCTATACTACGACTGCAAAAATTAGCAAACATAGTGCAAAATGTGCGTAGCTAAAAACCACTGCATGCTTTTTTGCCATTTGTTTGAAATAACGACATGGAAGAGGCATTTTTTACTCGAACCCACTAGAAACGGTGGTAAGCCTTCAGTGATTCGCCTGACTATCGTTAAAATTTTTTTCATTATTCTTCAGCTGCACGATCAATTTTGATAATGTCAACTGTATATAGCGCCGGCCAAGAAAGCAAGTTTCTTCAATAAAACTTCAAATTTTTTCAAAGTTCCTATTTGTTTTGTACATTTTCTACCACCGAAATCATGATTTTTTAAGTTAATGCGCAAAAAAGTAGCGTTCGTTTTTCGAATCCACCCACCCAACAGGCATAACTAAACTTTTCTGTAACAGAACTCGAAACTACTCGAGTCTTTGGGTATTGCGTAGAAGACCAGCACTTGAAATAGGTATAAACTACTTTCCAAGTCGTTACTGACAACAAACAAATGACTTTTGTTCCAAAGCTCAGCAAATAAAATCAGCGATCAGTAGGAAAGCTCGCCTAAATGCATAAACTTTAAGTCAAAATTTGCATTTTACAAACGACACAAAGTTCCACGACATTTTAAAACTACGAAAAATCATTTGAACCATGAAATGTTTGTTTGCCCTTTCAGTTACCTTCTGAAAAAGAAAAGTAAACCGCATAAGCATGATTAGTAAGGGAATGAAACTCTCTGTTGTTAACTGGTTAGCAAGAGAAATTAGGCTGGAGGCAACGGAAATGGTAAATACCGAAACCACTGCCAATATGCACAGTTATAGCGAAAATTTCTTGCCTCTGTGCAGGAAAATACGATCTTTCCAGCCCTCTGCTACGGAGCTCCGTCTGTTATGTCTTCGGAGAAGGGTTACTACCGAAACATACGCTCTTTTAGAAACTGTTGTGCTTTGTCAGTGATCCCAGTGCAGAGATTTAGGAGCAAGTGGAACAACTCAGGATAAATTTGAACGGGAGAATTCTTGAGGCAAACGAAAACCGATCATGCACGTTTTACGGCTAATCGAGAGGATATGAACTGACCTACCTCGCTTGGATCAGGCTCCGGTAGGGGTACAAACTCGAGGATTATATCCGAATCAGTCCAGAAGAGAAGTATTCCAGTGAAGCGTAAATTGTCAAGAGATGACCCAATGGAAAGAATCAAAGAAAGAAGCAACGCGCAGAGAATGTGGTTACTACAAGGTCCCTCTTTTCGCAATATATCATCTCACCATCAAAAATAAAAAGGAACCCAGTAAATCCCTTGAAAAAGGTTTTGAGAAGCCAACCATTCTCAACTGTCCGCATGCATCAGTGTCTCCAGCCCAATATTTTTAACTTCGCGATCAAACAAAGAAACAAAAAACGAGAAAAATTTCACCGCACAAATTCATTTCTGGCCTTCTATCAGTCCACACGCCTTTTCCAAACAATTAAATTGCTTACGTGCTGAAATAAAAAGAAATTTTATATAAAGCAATCTATGAAAGTCACTTTAAAATTCTGGAGGAAATTCGATCACGGAAGATTTCAAAAAAAACTTCATACTTTTTGCCGCTAGGGAATCGTTAAACAAAAAGAAAATTAGGAAGGAGCGGAGGGGAATGGAACTGGGGGGCGAGAGGGAGGGGGAAAGCTGGACTGTTAAAAGCACTTTTGAGGTAAAAGCATAGCTCTGGTTGGAGAAGCGAATACAGAGCAAAAAACGCCAAGAGTTTCGTTTCCGAAAAATTTTTCGTTAGTCCACCACCATTGCCCATTAGCGTTATGTTGACAGAAACTTTCTCAACACATTTCTTTTAGACGCATTGGAAAAGAGAACCAACTTTCCGTCGGGATAGAAGAGTGCAAATTTGTGCTGTTTGGACATGAAGCCAGCTTCCAGATCACGCAGCTTTATTCCATCCAGTGGTAACATGTACTTCTTTTCCTTTTCCTACAAATTCCTTAACACTATTACTACGATTTACTTGGATTACCCAACACAAGAACGGTGCGCAAATAGTTATAAAAGACTGCATATTTCCCAGAACATTATTTCTTCTTAGCAACTTTAGAAGGTTCAGCATTTAGTAAAACTCAAAATTAAAAGAAAACTGAAAAAAGAATTAACAAATTCTTCACTGAAAAGGGATACAGGCAATTCCTGCTGATTCTTACTTTATTGGAGTATTCTCGCCCTTACAATTTCAATAAGTCCTCTAGAAAAGAGACTGGAGCTGTCACGTGCCAACTGGCAAATAGGTGGCTACAAAAAATGATCTACGCGTAGAAATGACACAAAGTAAGCAAATCTTCTCTGAAAAAGGGAAGAAGCAAAAATCAATAAGTAGCGGCGCGCATCAGGGCACCCGGTATGATCACGCGTTTTGTGCAATCCCGTTCACCGAAAGATTGCCTACTAATGATTTTCAGTGCTTTGCACTTTGGTCTGTGCAAAAATAGTTAAAATGTCTGGTTCGTAAGTTGTGGAATTTCTTACTAAAAATTTCACGCAAACGAGATAATAATTTCTTTATCAAAACTTTTACGGGGCTGTACATGGTGCCCAGGGATGCTTGAAAGCTGAATCCAAATTTGCGAAGTCATATGTTTATAGAGGAGATCACCCAAAAATTTCAGATTTTCAACTTCCGCCATCCCCGAGATAATTTTCCCCGCCGAAACTTTCACAGGGCCGTAAGTGATACTCGGAAGCGCGGGAAGCTGAATATAAAATTGCAGTCTTGTATGTGGACAAAAAACATTACCACAAAATTTAACTTCTTGGCTTTTATGGTTCCCGAGACAATAATTTCCTCGCCAAAATCTTCACGGGGCCTTTGGTGATACCCTAAAGCGCGGGAACGCTGAATTTGAAAAGGCAAGGCAGAGCCTGGACAGGGGGTTATTATACTAATATTTCAGCTTCGTATATCCAGTGGTTCCCGAGATAATAATTTACCCGCGAAAATTTTCACGGGGTCGTTCGTGTTACCCTGGGTAACAGAAAGCTGAATTTAAATCTTCTGGGTCGCGTGTGAGCAGGGACACGCCCAAATAATTTCAGCTTCCTAGCTTCCGTGGTTCCCGTGATAATAATTTTACCCGCCAAAACTTTTACGGGGCCGTACCTGTTACCCGCGGGTACGGAAAGCTGAATTTAAATTTGCTGGGTCACACGTGAGTGAAGAATGTTCCCCTAAATTTTCAGCTTGCTAGCTTTGTGGTTTCCGAGTTGAAAGTTGCGGACAAGTTGCTGCGGACACACACACACACACAGACAGACAGACAACTCCGTGGCAACATGCGTTTTGTACTGCTGTTACACAGCACAAAACGCATAAAAAAAGACACCCTAGTACTTAGATGATCAAGTAAAAGACCAAGCAAGTCAAATGTTTGCTTAAAAGAATCTGTTTTTGCACTAGGCATCGGTCAACCATCCTCTTCTCAGCAATAAAAATAACCAGAAATTGAAATTTCCTCATTCAACTGCTTAAAACAAAAGAACAAATGCACATACTTCGTCGTCTTTATACCACGATAAACTGTCCGATGTAAGCACAAACCAGCAATCTCTGGATCCACGCACAAAAGAAATATTATGCACTGAGAGCCATCCCTTTCGGATAACCTGATTGCCAAGATTCTTCTTTTGCGATGTTGACGATGCTTTAGCTTCCGCACTGCAAAAAACAAAATCAGTGCTGAGCACCAAGTGCAGGGCTTTATTCACTTTCTTTACTTGCATCCTCCAGTTATCCCTCTTCGAATTTACAGTTTTATTTTCACTGACAAATTCTAGGAAGTTTAATGAATTTAATAAAAACCATTGCCTCTAACCAAGAAAGACTAAAAAAAAGATTTTGGACCATCTGTTTTGGCCGATTTTTACCAGTGTTGGACGGAAACAAAAAAGCATCCCAATCTGGGCTGTCCTGAGCAGGAGCAAAATCAAGTTACGAAGCCGACGCTGACTAAAGAATAAATTCTGAAAAAATTTTTAAACTTTCAAAACTCGCCTTCTGCCTACCGCCGGTTTACGCTTCTCTTGAACTTGATCACCCTTTAGCCATTAAACTTTAAAACGACTATCCGTTTGCTTCCCTAACACATTATCCTCTTCACAACATGTTCATGTTTCTGTCACACACAAAG